CAAACCTCCCACAGTGACCCCAAACCTCCCCAGGGCATCCAACCCCCCACAGGGCTCCTAAACCTCCCCATGGTGACCCCAAACCATCCCCAGGGTACCCCCTCATGCCCGTCTGCAGCCTGGGGGGCACGGGGGCACGGGGGTCAGGGGGGCACCCCAAAAACCCACCACAGTCACAGCAAACCTCCCACAGTGACCCCAAACCTCCCCAGGACACCCAAACCCCACCCAGGGCACCCAAACCATCCCCAGGGCACCCAAACCATCCCCAGGGCACTCAAACCATCCCAGAGTGACCCCCAACCTCCCCAGGGCCCCCCGCATGCCCGTCTGCAGCCTGGGGGGCACGGGGGTCAGGGGGGGTGCCCCAAAAACCAGACACGGTGACCCCCGACCTCCCCAGAGCTCCTAAACCATCCCAGAGTGACCCCAAACCTCCCCAGGGCACCCAAACCATCCCCAGGGCACCCAAACCATCCCACAGTGACCCCCAACCTCCCCAGGGCACCCACATGCCCGTCTGCAGCCTGGGGGGCACGGGGGTCAGGGGGGCACCCCAAAAACCAGACACACTGACCACCAACCTCCCCAGGGCACCCAAACCATCCCCAGGGCACTCAATCCCCCCCCACAGCGACCCCAAACCTCCCCAAAGCCCCCCCCTCGTGCCCATCTGCAGGCTGGGGGGCACAGGGAGGGGGGTGAGGGTGGGCACCACCCCTGGGCACCCCAAAAAAGCCCCAGGGGGGGTTTTGTGCCCCCCAAGGGGGGGTTTTGTGCCCCCCAAGGGGGGGTTTTGTGCCCCCCAAGGGGGGTTTTGTGCCCCCCAAGGAGGGGTTTGTGCCCCCCAAGGGGGGGTTTGTGCCCCCCAAGGAGGGGTTTGTGCCCCCCAACGGGGGGTTGTGCCCCCCAAGGGGGGGTTTGTGCCCCCGGCCCCTTTGGGTGCCACACGGGGGGAGGGGGGTGGGCACCCTACACAGCCGGGGGGTCTCTGTTTGCAGCCAGTGCACACCAGGACCCCACTGGGGGGGGTCGTGGTCGGCTTAATTGGCTGCAGGGGGGGCACCCCAAAACCTGGGGGAGA